ACTGATTTTTTGCAAAAAAATCAGGAGCCTTTGAGAACATCTAGGCAATGAGACTTTGGAGTTTTCCAGTCTAGCATTTTGTGAGGGACAGTCACCAGTGAGACGGCTGGGGTGATTCCATGATGCTAATGTACACATATCTGTCTTCTTTTAGTATTCATTTATCCTCCCCTCTTGATAACTGTTGTCGAGAAATGTTTAAATTTACTTATATTTTCTGATTACATCCAAGGAACTCTCATATATTACAGCCACAACTAGAATCCAGGCCAATACATTTCACCTGTGGGTTTCTGCAGGCATTTCCTAAACATTCTTCACCTGCAGTCCAAGGCTGACGTCAAATGCTGCCAGGCTGTTCCTTGTTCTACTGTAATCACGGTAATTCCCCTTCAGAAAACGCCTGTGGTACCCCTTGTCCTCATGGGGCCTCGCAGACATTCCCTCTTCCCTTCCAAGACTTCATCATGTGGCCTCTCTTATGCGCTCCCACAGGTGACATTTTGTGTGTACCTCGTCACAATGCTGATCACGGTGTACAGAGACGTATTCACCTCCTTTTTGTCACAACAGATTAGAAGGTGCCTGAAGACTAGAACTTCATCTTATTCATCTCCATGTTCCCATCCCCTAGTTTAAGTATCACACAGCAGGGTTCAGTTAACATTTACTAAGTTAGTGACTATGTGGTCCGACAATTAAGTTCGTGAACTTGTTGCTAATGATGCTGCTAACCTTTTTTGCTATCAGAGGGATTATTCATTATGAATTTGCACCAACTGGACAAACAGTTAACCAAGTTTACTATTTGGAAGTGCTGAAAAGGCTGCGTGAAAAAAGTTAGACGATCTGAACTTTTTGCCAACAATTCATGGCTTTTGCATCACCACAATGCACCAGCTCACATGGCACTGGCTGTGAGGGAGTTTTTAGCCAGTAAACAAATAACTGTATTGGAATACCCACCCTACTCACCTGATCTGGCCTCCAATGACTTCTTCAAGCAAATATTGAAAGAAAGACATTTTGATGACATTCAGGACATCAAGGGTAATACGACAACAGCTCTGATGACCATTATAGAAAAAGAGTTCCAAAATTGCTTTGAAGGGTAGAGTAGGCGCTGGCTTTGGCGCATAGCTTCCCAAGGGGAGTGTACTTCGAAGGTGACCGTAGTGATATTCAACAATGAGGTATGTAGCACTTTTTCTAGGATGAGTTCACGAACTTAATTATCTGACCTCTTATATACAACTAGAAAGCTCTCTAAGTCAGCGGTTCTCAACCTGTGGGTCGCGACCCCTTTGGGGGTCGAACGATCCTTTCGCAGGGGTCGCCTAAGACCATCGGAAAACAAAAAGATATTTACATTACGATTCATAACAGTAGCAAAATTACAGTTATAGAGTAGCAACGAAAATAATTTTACGGTTGGGGGTCACCACAACATGAGGAACTGTATTAAGGGGTCACGGCATTAGGAAGGTTGAGAACCGCTGCTAAGTCCTTTCTTTACCACATAATGGAAGCATACCTAATTAGGTAAATAAATTGGAGAACATAAGCATCCTCAGGAAAATGCTAAGCATTGCATAATGAAAAGATATTTCTAGTATTTACTATTTTAGATTGGGAGAGACATTCACAAGAAACCATAATGGTTCAGCGTTTTGAAAACTTGCCTTACACTCAGTATGTAAGCACGTCTTACTTTCTGCCACGTCAATGTGCTCCTACCCATAGCTCCTCAGAATTTCTGGAACTGCTTAGTTCTCAGTGATTTAGCTCTCTCCTGCCCTTAGCTACCAAACCCTCAAGCCTCATCTTGGGTGCAGCATTACATGACACTGATGAAATAAAACTTTCAACTGAGGGAGTCCAAATAAGATTGTTACATATAAGAAGGAAAATATTAAGAGAGAGCTTTAAAAATTATATGGAAACACATGAAATATCATAAGTAAGCATATGCTGTTATGGCTTACATTTGTATTTCATGGAATCTTAAACATTTGGCAGCACCTTAGGATTTACGTAGTAATTTTTTTTATTTGTGTTTGTCAGTAAACTAGGTTTTTTAATTAACCAAAAGTTGTAGGAAAAGGAGGCGGAGAGGAGAAAGGATCTAATAAAATGTGGCTTGTCCCTAGACGTGACCTGTGGAGCTCTTTTTTATTTGTTGTTCCTCATGTTGGGCCGTCTCCTGGGAATTAAATACAAACACCTTCCAGACCTAGAAGGCTCTGCAAGATTTGTCCCTTGTCCACCACTACAGCCTAATCCATCTTGACGCTCCCCCTTGTGCGGTATTCTGTGTTTCTCAGTTACACCCATGTCTTTCCTTCTGCAAACATTTCTTTATTCTACCCAGATCCTTTTTTCCTTCAGAGCTTCACACATCAAATTCATTCTCATCATCATATCTCAGCTTAAGTGCCATGTTCCTTAGAGAGAGACCATCTGTGACCTCCTCAGATAAGGATAAGTTCCTCCATTACTGTCTGGTCATCCCTTGTTTTAACCTTGACTTCTACTTTGTGCCCCCTAGGTGAAGAGGAACCTAGACCTGCCTCTAGGATGAAGCTTGTGAATGTCAGACCAGAACTAATATTCTGGTTAACTGAATGCATTTGACCTCTTCTAGAATCCGTGTCAAGGATATGATTTAGGAATTTTTTTTTTTTTTTGTAAAGGGAGGCAGTTAGCATGAAAACATCTCATTCAAGATGGAAGCCCAAACATGATGAGCCTTTGTACAGATGAACCTTTATTAAGAAAAAGAAAAATTGTGGGAAATTTGAGGAAAAGTACAACCAAAATAACTTTCAATAGATGGTGGTCTGTAATTTTTTTTATTTTTTTCCTTTCTTATGTGATATCCTTTCATTAAAACAAGCTGGTTTAACGAATATGGTACGGTACCTGATTCCTGACCACAGTGCTATCTCTTACAGGTGAAAGACCCAGGCCATCAGCAAGCAGGTGACAGATAGGTTGGTGTGCTTGGAGTTAGGTTATTGCTGACTGGGATACAAATATTTACTCCCTTGTTTAATGGGTGTTCACTGTGGGCACCACTTAGTCTTTATCACACTGAATATTACTTGTTGCCTTTCTGAAACTTTTAGTCCAGAACAATTGTAAAAACGGGTCCCATCCCAGAAGGAATTTCATTAGACAAAGCAAGACAAATGTGAAGTTATAGAGTGTATGATATTAGGGAAAAAAATGAGGATTTTCACACACACACACACACACACACACACACGAATGGCATCGATGATGAAGCTAAGGTTTAAATGTCTAGATTCTGAAGAATGATGGTGCCCCAGACAGAGAAGTGCATGGTGGGAAATCCACGGTGATATCTAAGAAGAGACAAGGAGGTCTGTTTTAAACACCCTGAGTTTGGGTGATGATTGGCAGTTGAGTGGAAATGGACCATGAAATGGCCATCCACACAGGTGGAGCTGGGTAGGTTTGGGTTTGGCCATATAACTTTTTAAACAAAGCCCTGTGTTAAGCACACAGGTTAGCCTAGTACCTGGAACTTAACAGAAGCTTAAAAAAAAAAACAAAAACGTTTGCTGTTAGCATTATTAGCATAGAATTCAGTTTTAAATACTAACTGGATGAGAGGAGAAATGCACGCTAAATGGGCGGGAGGTGATGGATTGGGGGGAAGCAAGTGTGCTTGAGTGAACCGGAAAACACAGGTGCTGACCGAACAAGCCTGTGCCCACGTAACCATTAGCTGAGGATCGACTGTTCAGGATGGCTACGGGAAGCAGGGCGAGCTCCTTCGGCAGAACGAGGAAAACGTTAAGGAACACACCTGGCCGCGATCTATTTACCTCCTTAACCTCTAGGACGGAACGCGCAGCCATCAGGTGAAATCAAGCCCCGGGGCAGGGAGAGGCAAGCAAAGCGTGCTCCACGCCCCCCGCTGCGGCGCGTCCTAAATACCTGCGCGGACCCCCTTCCCCACCTCCGGAGGGTCTTCCGTCCCAGCCCGCGCGTAAATCATACACCTCGGAAGTTTTGCATTAGAGAGACCAGCAGGGGAGGACATTTTCTGCAAGTAAAGAAAGTGGAACTAGGGCAGTCGGAGGAGACCGAAAGGGCAAAACTATCACGCAAGGAAACTGTAAGTTCTGTGTAGTTTTATGACTTTGCCTTCCTGCCTCAGGAGCTCCATGGATCGCGGCTTCCGGGACCGCTTGGGGCGGGGGCGGGGGAGGAGGGCGCTTTCAAACAGTCTCGAAACTCTCCTCGCGCTCCGCGCTTTCAGATGCAAATACCTCGCCCCGAGATGGACGGGCTGCGGCCCCGCCCACCCTCCCCGCTCCTCAAGATTTTCCTGCGAAGGACTCCATCTGCACGGATCTGTCAGGAGGGCGCTGGAGGAGGGGCGCGCGTGTGTGCGCGCGTGTGTGTGCGCGCGTGGCGGCGGAGCGGCTGCCTCTCCAACAGCCCTCACTGGGTCTCCGGGAAGTGGCCAAGTCGCAGTGATTCCCAGGGCCGGCCGCGCACGCCCGTGGCTGCAGGCGCCCGCCGCCGACCGTCCTCACCTGATCCGCTCCCGCCCGCCCGGGCCGGGCCCCGGCACCCTCCCTCCTCGTCTCCGGCTCTCGCCCTCTGTCTGGACGCGCGCTCCCGCTGCTTCGGACCTGGTGTCCGAGCCGCCCGGGGGAGCCAGCGGGGCCCCTCGGAGCCCGGGGGGCACGGGCCCGGGGCGCCGGCGGCCGGGGCAGGGCCCGGCGCCCGCGCCCCG